AAAAATAACAATTGCACCTCTGAACCTCCCCCGTTCCCCAATCCCTCGGCCATCCGTTTCCATGTCTCTGCCAATGCATTTCAAAACAGAACCAGAAGAAGCGATTCGGGCAAGGCGGTTTGGCCACGCCCCCTGCCTCTTGCGACCCTCCTCCATATCTGTCAAGTGAACTGGAAGTGATACGGATACATGTGCAGGAGGGAGCAGGAGGAGGTACTGCATCCGGGGAGCGACGGAGCGAGGCGGAGCGGAGCGTAGCAGAACGCTGAGCGTGTTCACGTGCAAAATTGCAGCGATTCCCTGGCGAGTTTCGGGTTCTCCTTCAAAATCGAATTCGTTTCGCTGAATGCACTGGGAAAAATATAAATTCTGAAGCTACGAAAAAGTATTTTAAAGAAAATTCACAAAACATATAGCAAAAAAAAAAAAAAATTAAGAAAAAAAACAATTTATAATTTAAATAAAACATAATTATTCCATTTAAATTAATCTGAAATATAACTACTAGGCTTAAATAAGGCTTATTGTGTACATTATTATTTATCAATAATTAATCTATGATCTTTGAGATAATGATTAAACACACCAATATTCAAATTCAAACTAAGTAAATACTTTCAGAAAATGTCAGTTATCATTACCATCTATGTTCTTACATTAAAACTTTCCCTGATAGCTTTTCTATAATTTTAAACTATTTGCTATTTATAACTTCAAGAATTTCTAAAACTTAAAAATTTTAAGATATTTCTTTCCATGTAGAATGAGAGTGTGTGCCTTTGCTAGAGAGTGTGTATGTTAGTGCAATTCGAGTTTCATTTGAAGTGCGATCGATGACGATGACGGGCTGGATGCAATGAGAACAGAAAACGGACTGCCAAGGTTTTTAATCAGCTGTTGTCACTTTCGATGAAGTACGATTGAAACTGATCAGATGCAGGAACTTACAGTAACCGGTTGCCGAATTTCATAAAAATAGTAATATAAATGTTAGCACACTACTATTTATATTTAACTCTTTCAGAGTATTAAAATTCCAGTCAGAAGCTTAAATACAGTGAAGGAGTCATTTCCGACCCTATAAGTCATATTTATTCTTGATCAGCATCAACAGCCAAGTCAATCTAGCCATGGTCGGTTGAAAATAAAATTTTAAATTTTTTTTCAATTTTTTTTTAAAAAAAAGGCACCGTTCAATAGTCAAAATTTGTCAAAAATTTAAATCTTAAAAGAGTATGCAGATTTATTAAACTAACAAAAACTAATACAGGACAACTTTCCGAATTCAAATTAATGATTTTTGGCTTAGTTATGATTTTTAAACTTTAATTTTTCGAATAAAAACTTTATATAGTAATACCAATTTAAGGAATGCCAATATTTTAAACTAAATTATGATCGATAGTTATTTTATTTTCTTGTATGAATAAAAATATTACTATACTCTAATTTATAAGTCAAGCACAATAATATCTCAGAAATGACAACACTGCGTATGAGTAATATTACTTTTCAAATAAAAACAGATTGAGAAATATGAAAAAAATATATATAAATACTGAAAAATGTATTATAATTTCGCTCAGAAGCTTTTAACACAATGAAGGAGTCATTTCCGACCCTATAAATCATATATATTCTTGATCAGCATCAACAGATGAGTCGACTGGCTATGTCGGATAAAATTTAATTTTCAAAATTTTAAAATTTTATAAGGGTGACATCGTTAAAATTATCAAAATTTAGAACATTTAATTTGTAAAAATGTTAACTTGGTATGAAGATTTTTACTATACAAAAATTCATACATTTATGGCTTAGATATGAACAATTTTCCATGAAATAATTCCATGGGTATGCAGACTTCACTTTGCCACAGTTAATTAACATATTTGGTATTTATTTAATATTTTTTAATGGAATACTAATGAAATTTTGACAACTAAATTATCCTTTAAATATCTATTTGTATTTATTTTAAACTGTGAAATACATGAACAAATGTATTTCTCCGTATGCAAATTGTTTCATTTTTGAAATCAACTTTATAAAATTGTTAAAAATTAGCCTACTCCTTAGAGGACATATATCCCATTGTGCACCTTGGTATTTTAGCTTCATCGATGGATCATGCCCATCGCTGACCATCGTCTTTGGCTGTTTCGCCTTTGGTTTGGCACACAAACCCTCTGGCCACAGATTGTTTGTCCACGTTGCATTTGCCGCTAAATTGTTTGTGTTTTTTTCTCTCTCTCTCTCTCTCTCTCTCTCTGATTCATCTCCAGCATCCTCCTCCCTGGGCTGTCATCCCTTTTACCCCTCTCTCCTCTATCGATGTGCGTGCAATGCCATTAACAATACGCCCAATGCCAAAAACGGGCAAACGCGCCAAATCCATTGTTATTTCGGTGGTCGATTGTTGTTCTTCCGGCTTGCGTGAGCTTACTGTGGCCCCAGCCACGCCCTCCTTTTCCAAACCCCCCAAAAGCCGCCCACCCGCTGTGCAAATTGTGCAAACAAACAGCGGATGTTACTTTGTGGAAGCGAAGGGAAGAGGGATTGCTCTCTGAAAGGATGCTCCTAGCCACACTCGAAAGAAATGTGTGTGATCGAAAAAGGGGAAATTTATTTCCAGGAAAATTCAGGGGAAATTATACTCCAGAAGATCAAGAGTCTACGAAATGTTATAAATTATATAACAACTTATCATATTTGTTGAATAAATATTTATATTATTATAGTACAATTCTAATACACACTTTTAGATATCCTTTGATATAAAAGTATGTCCTGTTGTTATATATTTTTTCTTTCTGTATGCTAAAACTTGTGCCACAAATCGCTTCCATTTTGGTATCCTCCCCTTCATCTCTGGCTGCCACCCCCTTAGGTTGCAGGATAATTTAGCGGGCTGTGGGCGTCGGCCTGGGCTTTGTTTTTTCAGCTCGGTTTGTTCTCAACTGCAATAATCTTATTAGCAGTTTGTTGTTCGAACCTAATCAATTACCAACGTAATTACAAACTTTGCTAATCTGCCTCGGTTTCCTCCCCAGCGACTACGCTGCCTCCCACCATCCCCATCCCAAATATTGTCCATGTTCGTGTCCGGATCCCTGTCCGTGCTCATGTTCATGTCTAGATTGGAACACATCCTGCACACATGTCCTACCAATCTCACAGGCGGCTCGTGGATGGGAATATACGCTTCGCTGATGTGGCTCAAATTTAGTGGCCTAAATAGCGATTTGGCCAGTGGAGCATGACAAAAGATCTCATCAAACGCTCGCGAATTGTTAACCAGATGTTGGGGGCTATGGCAACGGATGGGATTTCGATTAAGCGTTAGTTGAGGAGGTTGCCAGGGAAATAAGGAGCAGGGGTAACGTGGAATTAAGCTTAAGGATCTGGAGGTTAAGTGTGGAAAATGTCTATAAATAAAACACCTGTACCTTGAAGTTGCTTAAAAACTTTATTTCAAGATATAATCAAAAAGAAAAAAATTAGATAAAGTGTAAATTCCAGCTTGATTCTCACCCTTGGCTTTCTATTAAAAACTTTTTATTTTCAATGACTGATTTATCTTACCGATTTCCCCAATAGTCATTCGATGCGATGATCAATGGGCCTCTTATCCCAGGCCAACAATCAATTTCTTACCTTACTATTGCATTGCAGCACATTTCTTCGTCAAAGATTCAGCTACAAAAAAGTTTTTGGCTTAATCAAATGCCAAAATATTTGAATATGCCAAGAAACGAAATTATTGCCGTGTAAGCGCCGACGTAGCCTTTCGTCCTTTACGTTTGGCATTTGCTCGGAGAAAACTTTGCCACGCATGATTTAAATGGGAATAAATCTTGCGTTAAGACTTGACTTGGATTTGGATTATGCAATGCCTGAAGGGGAGTGAGTGAGTGGGAGGGAGGAAACTGGGACCGGAACGAACTTGCTGCGTCACGTAGTTGCTAAATTTGTTTACACGTCCTGTCCCCCACCCCCCTCCTTCCATTCCATCGCCTTAGAATCAGGATCTTGCCAGGCTCCAGCACCCTCGAGCTGTCGCCTCTCTCTGGCCTCCACAATTGGCATAAAGTTTCTCATATGCAAATCGCAAGTTTAGCAAAATATTTCGTTTATTGTTGAAGTTTTCCTTTAGTTACTACAACTCTCTCGCTCTCTCTCTCCTCTCTCTGGCAGTCGTCAACATTTTGTACGTCTTTCGTTGGTTTATTTTTCGCCTTGCCTGAAAGTTTTTCATCGGAAAGTTTCCCTCCTGGTTCAAGACATTTTTTGATAAATTATCCCAACGCCAGTTTGTGTAACTTATTTCCAGTAAAAACGCGTTCTCTTTTTTATTATTTCTGCTTTCTTTTTTTTATAAAAATCATGACACCTTTTATTGATTTACTTATTCTGTTTGGATGCTGCTGATGTGTGTGTTGTGTGGGGTGTGTGTGTGTAGGGGGGTGTGTGGCTCATACACACACGTTTACTTAAAGTATACATATAATCCATTCACTTAGCCAACTGCATTTTTATCACTAGAATTACATTTAGCATCAGCAAATACTTTTGCGCTTTTCCATACTAATATTACTCTTTCCTATCAAATTGCATACCAATTTCCATTATCGGTTAGTGAAGATTGCTTAAAATCTAATCAGAACACACAGCCTTGCTTTGTTTCTCTAAAAAATTACACTTAGTGGCTAGCTTTTTATAATTACACATTTAATTACACACAAACATATAATTCATATGGCTGAGCTTAGATCTAAGAAGAATGTTTTTTTTTGTCTGCGTTGAAATTGTTTAATTTAAAGCCACATCCAGATAGTTTAAAATACTACTTGTTTCTCGCAAAATAATAATCTTTGAAAGTTATATTAAAACGGAAAGTAATTTAGCTAACCTTTCATCTGATTTGTCAATGCTTTTTATTCAGCTACAAAATAACCAGAAACTGAAAGTTCATATTTCGAATTTCATTTATTTATAAATTTACTTTGTTAAAAATTGCGTGCTTTACAAGCTTATAAAATGGCTTTTCTTGGCTATCGTACAACATTTTTGGATACAGATTTTTACAGAGCGTCCGAGAATTTGTTTTGTTGTTAAAATTTACAGTTCTTGAAAATTTATATGCGACAGCAAATGTATAGGTGTTTTCTATTATTCTTCAGATGCTTGAGACTCAAGCGCACGATATATGTACAAGTTTCCGGGACCTAAGCATACAACTGCAATGAAATTGAATTTGTTTAATTCAATAAATTAGTAAAAGGTATATAATATTATAAAGTATTGCATACCTTTCAGCTGGTGGCCTTCAACAACTACTACTTGACTTTGCCTCCTCCAAAATATGAAAAATTAATGGTAAACCTTCAGTTTACGTCAACATGGGGTCTAATGAGTAAATAGAAAATCATTAAATATTAATTAATATAAAAATATTATGCGTAGGTTTGTTTATGGTGTGTTTTTAAGCGGGGAATCCTCTGAAATAAAGTAAATAATCCATAAAAAGATAAATACATCAAAAGCAAATAAAGATAAACAAAGCTTTAAATACATAGATAATGTATATTTTGTTGTGCATTTGAAACAGAGAACAAAACTTTATTGAGATATGTTTTATGTAGTTCAATGAGTTGTTTACATGTGTTGTGAGTATTTTACATAAACAAATTATGCTACATTATGTGCACTCATCTACTTCAAAGATGTGCCACGACATAGAGCCAAATAAACTAACTAAAACAATAAGTTTACAGAAAATGAATCGTAAATGTATAACTTTATAATACGAGATTTTGTTGATCAATTTAAAACTGAAAACTGAAAAAGTAAAGTAAACTTCATGAATAACAAATTTTTCCTCTTTGTTGTTGATTTCATTTTAAATTGTGTGTATTGTCTTTTTACGCAAAGCTCTTTACAAATCGCATTATGTGATTTTGTTTATTTAATTATAATAATTAATAATAATAGGGATGGTAGTGTGTATGGGTAGGGTGTGTTTGTGTGTGTATTGTGTGGGTAACAGAAACATTTCTTTTTTTTCAGTACAAATAAAAATGTGAGTTAGTTGGGATAATTAACAAATCAGATAACTAAAAACTAATTATGCGTACCAGCATAAATGTGGGTATATAATATATATATAGAGTGTGATAATCCATTGAACAAAACGAGTAACTTGTAATTAGATCTAGGATATATATATCATATATATATATATGTTTATAGTAAGAACTTCATTGTGACTTGCAACATGAGAGATGAACAAATCAAACAGAGAAAGAGTGCTTATTAAATTATCAGATATATCAAAAACTTATAAACTAACACTCTGAACAGATCTTTTGCTTTTATTCTTTTCCTTTTTTATTGTTTAGTTTCGTATGTGTGTGTGTGTGTGTTTGTGTTTGTGAGTCATGAATAAGTATACAAAATATGTAATAAAAAAAGGCGATGGTTCAACCAACTCGTACGATAGTTTAAAAAATAGGAAAACAAGTCGTAAAAGATGGAAGTAAAGGGAACTTCAACAGAAAGTTAACTAATCTACAGTCTAACATGTGTATTCTTCGTTTCTTTTGTTCGTTTTTTTTTTTAGTGTATTTTGTTATTTTTTTGTAATTTTTTTTTCGTTTTAATTCAACATTTAACGTGCTAAATCATAAGTGACGCTGTCTCATTTTGGCACAGATTTTTGTTTCATGTCTTTTAGATGTTTTTTTTTTTTTTTTTTTGTTTTGTGTTTTCAAGATACGTACAACGTTGGCATTTGCATCGGGGGTTACTCTTGCAACGCGCGCGCTCTACACGGCAACTCTTCATTCATTCATTGACTACTCCATATTTGACAAATCTCAGTATTCTCTAATCGGTCTCCGCCAGTCCGGATGACCCGTCGATCTTGGTGGGAGCGGAGGCCTCCTTGGGAAGTCCAGCCCGCTAGTATGGCTTCGAGTCCTTGGGCTTCTTTAGCTGCACCTTCAGGCGCTTGGTGCCCACCTGGAAGCCGTTCATCGCCTTGATGGCCACCTGGGCTGCTTCCGGATTGTCGAAGGACACGAAGCCAAAGCATTTGGACAGGCTCGTCTGTTTGTCGATAAACACCTTGGCCGAGATCACATTGCCAAAGGGCAGAAAGGTGGAGGCCAGATCCGTATCGGTGAACTCCTGTGGCAGATGGTAAATGAATAAATTGCAGCCCTCGGGTCCTGAAAATAAAGGAAAATAATTATTTTAGGATATTTCTCACAAAAAATAATATAAAATATATAACTAAACATTTTAAAATCCCTATTTAAGAAAACAAGAATCGTTTAATATATTTATTATAATTAGTTAAAAGTAGTTCTACTAATTTCTTTCATTACATCTACTTTTGATACTTTTTCTAATACTGCTACAGCCTCTTGCTGATTTAGCTCCAACTCCTAGTTCTGCTCCTGCTCCAGCTCCTGCTCTTGCTCCTGCTCCTGCTCCAGCTACTGCACCTGCTCCAGCTACTGCTGCTGCTTCACCTACTGCCCCAGCTACTGCTCCAGCTACTGCTCCACCTACTGCTGCTGCTCCTGCTCCAGCTACTGCTCCAGCTCCAGCTCTAGCCACTGTTCCTGCTACTGCTACTGCTCTGCTCCTGCTCCTGCTCCTGCTCTTGCTCCTGCTCCTGCTCCAGCTACTGCACCTGCTCCAGCTACTGCTGCTGCTTCACCTACTGCCCCAGCTACTGCTCAGCTACCACTAACTGCTGCTCCTGCTCCAGCTACTGCTCCAGCTCCAGCTCTAGCCACTGTTCCTGCTAGCTACTGCTCCTGCTCCTGCTCCTGCTCCTGCTCTTGCTCCTGCTCCTGCTCCAGCTACTGCTCCAGCTCCTGCTCTAGCTACTGCACCACCTATTGATCCTGC